GGGAAAACAAAATGAAGGGCCTTCAGAACATTTGCAGTCCTCTCAAACAAAAACATGGCAAGCGTGTAGAGAGATTCTGGAGTGAGCGTAGCTGGCATACGCCTACGATGAAAATCCACAGAGGAGGAAACTCTGCTGGGTCCCGGTTGAACATTTGAGCATCCTCAAAAGACAGATTGGGGTGGGGTGGTGGTGGGGTTACAAAGAAAATGAGACAAACTGCCCATTTTTCCACTTTGGGACACTATTATTAGTCAACACTACAATTTCTATTTGATTTGTGTTTGAGTGAGAATTACAGATCTGCTCTTGGACCATTAAAAAAAAAAAAAAAACCAACCAAACAAAAAAAAACCCAGAAGCTGATCCTTTCATTTCAAAAAGGAAAAAAGCAGCATACAAGGGGAGAAAGCATATGTAGTGGAATGGGGGAGGGCAAAAAAAAAAAAAGTCACCTAAGGATGCTATGCATTTAGTTGTAGTCCTATGAATAATTGTTTCCTTTTCTTTTTACTACAAGTTCAAAGTAAGTCTTTAAAGTCAAAAGAAATCAAAGTCTTCATTTAGTTTCTGTCCTTTGTTAATTCTTCACCCCTATTAGAATTTCTTTAAGAGATCTGGATGTAATGACGTAATGGGGTAGAGAGGGCTTTAAGGAGGCCATTGCAGTCTTTGACCAAAGCACCAACTGTTACTTGACTCGTCCTTGGCGCTCCTAGAACATGAAAGGACAGCGTGTTACACACAAAGCAGAAATTACATCATACAAAAATATAGGCACATTGCAATAGATCCTTCCAGTTTCTCTTGTTAAATGTGGGCATCCACTTAATACACATTTTAATAGTTTCATAAAACCACGGCTCTTGTTTGCAAACGACAACCTAAACAGATGTGGGTTTCAAGGAGGAAAAGCTCGATAACTTAGCAGCGTTACAGGTACATCTAATACAGAAAGTATTAGATGTACCAAAATATCAACTACGTAATGTATGTGAAAAATATCCAAGTGGCACAGACTCAAAGTGTGAAAATAGGCTAAATTTCTTCAGAATACAGTTACCTGAAGCCTGTAATGACTTCTGTTGTTTGGGTTGCTGGGATATGGCTCACTGCCTTGGACCTCCACCTGTCACAAAAGAAGCAAAAACTGAGCATAACTGAAGCACTTCTGATTGAAAGAGCCAGGTCTTTGTAGTAAGATCATTCAGTAATTTGACCCAAAGGATTACTTAGAAACAGAGCAGATTCTGAGTGGCCTAGCTCAACAGCTAAATATCGATAACTCTATATAGATATCAGATATTAAAATAGATAAAACCAAATGTTGTCCATCTCATTCTCAAACTGACATATATAAGACAAGGTACCCTAGATGAATCTTCTTCAAATGTGCATTTATCATTTTTTATTTTTCAGTAAGCAATTAATTCAGGTTTACTGTCCTCAATTAAGTAAATTGTCAGTTAGTCAAGTCTGGGTGTAAACATAACTCAAAATGAACAAATCACCACAGACTAAAATGCTTTTTTTAAGATTTTGAACACCTGGGACAAAATTTAAAAGGTTTTCCCTTTCTTACAGAAACCACAAAAGAGCAGTTATGCTCTCAGTTCATTTTTGAACAGATGTATTGCTTGCCATCAAGCGAGGAAGGAGAAAGCCAAAATACCCAATAAAGTTTATTTTAAACTACATACTGCAAATTCACCTCCACCAATAGTCGAGTTTACGTATTCGAGCATAAACATTGTGTAGACAAAGATATTTATGAAAAATTGAAGTTTTTGCTTTTTTCCTCTTGTTATTTTAGTTATATTTAAATCTATCCAAGCTCATAGATACTAAGTGGTAACCTCCAGGCAGCACATTTGGGTTTTTAGCAAGCTACACGTGTTTTTCAATCACAGCAGTTCTGAAAAATAAAACGCAAAATCATGTCAAGAGATTCATCTATACAATGCCAGTGCACACCATTAAAAAATAAATAAATTAATTAAGAGGCTAATTTAAATTAGGTTCCAGCTCAACACTGCTATGTGGGTGCTTTGTGGCCCCACAATGGTGACAGATGTTAAGCATTGTGGATCTTTGTTACCAGTATCCGCTTGCCTTTTTGCCATTCATTATTCTTCTGATATACTCTGTCTGAATAATCCACTCACCAGCCAACTGATGAGAGAATCCCAAAAGCAACAACCAGTTCAGTATATTTCATTGAAGGCAAACTTAAAGATGACACTGAATAAAACAACTGTCCCTAGATTCGCCCAACAAATAGAAAATCGACAAGCATTTGGAGACGGGTGGGTGTAATTTCCAATACCGAGTATGCTTATGTAAATTTAAATACTGTCTCCACCTTGATACGTCCATATTTTGGATGTAATCCATTTGCCAAAGAGGAAACACACACATAAGATGAAATAAGGGCTGGCAGTATGGAGTCATTTCTTGCTTACTACACCAACAAGTTTTGTGTGCTTGCACCAGTCTGTGGCTTAGCTGTGATCCAGCTGAGACTGGTCAAACGAGTTGACATGAGTTGTACCCAACGTGAGTAACATTTTCCTTCACCCGTTTTCTCAACTCGATGTGTGAGGATGGGCTCACAGGAAGAGAAACTAACAGGGGAGGCAAAATAATTATGATTAAAAATGACAAAACACATGTCTCATCTGACGGACATGAAAGCATCCAAATACTTTAAGCACTCACTTCCCTCCTCCCCACCTTTTTATTTTTAGTGGGAGAGGGCAGAGGTCCCATTGACATTTATCCTTCCAATAACGGACAACTGAGTAAATTTTAATTGATACATATTTTACTTTTCATTTAGCTAGAAAAGCAATGTTATGTCATACCTGGTGCTCTTCATAACAGGGCTTATTAAATTAATGCAGGTATTGGATTTAGTAATTGACTAAAGACAAGGTCTCTATTTTGGCATCAAGACTAAGTAACTGATCAATGCACCTGTAGTCCAAAAAAAAAAAAAAAGTGTAAAACACGAAAGGAAGAAGAAAAACAGAACACACCACTTGCTTGAAAAAGAAAGAAACCCTAGAAAAAACAAACAAACCAAACAAACAAAAAAAAACCCAAACAAACCATTGAAGATCCCAGTATAAACTTAAAAACAAATTTCCCTTTTCGGTTTGACATTTTTCCATTTTTGCTCTGCTACCTTCATGCTCAAATAAGCTAAAGAGATTATCAATATCATAAAGCAGTAAAGGGGACAACATCTCTCATAGTTTTAGCAGCACAGCAGCTTCAGCTGTGAACAAGATAACACTGATAAAGTTGCTATAATTACACAACTATACACCATGCATGTTATCCATTTTATCTTTGTAAATGTTTTCTCTTGCTGTCCACTCTTTAAGCAGAACATTACATGTGACTGATAACAGGTAGAACATAACAAAAGCTAAAGGAAAAAAGAAAAAAGATGACAAATTGTTCTAATCCATATAAGCACATCAAAATCAGCTCTCAGCCCATCTGTAAATGGTTGTATTGTACCGTTTCTTTGTAATGCATAACATCAATGTTGTACAAACACACATACACAGGCTTCAAACACTCCACCTTTTTTGAAGATCACACTTGTTTTTCATTCATTTGTTATGTCATTCACTTTATTCAACAGTGACTTTGTTACCTTTTTCACACACTCTTCTTCTTCCTGACGCTTCTCGTAGTGAGAAAAGTCATCGAAGATGGAAGTGGTGTGTTTATATCCAGCGATGATCTTTAGCACCTGCCTGGCCTTGTCCAGTGGCACCTCCTGTGTGTCCCGAGAGTTGGTCACTGGCTTATTTTCGTTGTTCTCCAGTCGAATGTGCCTCAGTTGACTGTTGGGAACGTCCTTAACAAAGATCCAGCGCACATCAAAACGACCCTTCCACTTGTCCTGCGACCACACGCCAGCAGACGTGTTGTAGTCCACGGGTGAGCGCATTTCTGCTACACCACAGAAGTGACCGCTCCCATTGACACTGAACAGAAGATAAAGTGGTCCTTTACCACCCAGTGAACGGTAAGCTGCATCAAGCCTCTTGTTGCCATGCTCCGTGCTGCACCAGATGTTATACTTGATGGAGCGGTGGATGTCATCCTCGGAGTAGCTCTTGATGATAAACACCCTGCCCTGCTTGGGATTCCAGTCAAAGTCCTTCGGGTTATAGTTGTTGACCATACGCAACTTCTCTAAAACTGGGTGAGGCTCCGAAGGGACCCCTGGAACCACACCCACTCCTGAAGAAGAGGGAGGTGACTGGCCTGTACCACTCCCACTCGTATCCCCAAATCCATTGGCCCTATTCCGTGGTGGGACCCAGCGGGTAGGTTGAGATGGTTGCTGCTGTTGGCTTGGTGGAGGAGGACCACCCTGGGAGAGAGGAGGCTGGGGCATCTGACCCATACCTGGCTGCCCAGTGGGTGGAAGCTGATGCTGACCCATCTGGGAAACAGGCGGAACCAGTTGTCCATTGCTCAGGGGCATTTGTGGATTTCCCACAGCAGTACTTCCAGGCTGTGGGGAAGCCTGATTGGGCGGCTGCCCGTTGCTGGGAATAGGGGGCACCTGCTGAGGAGTGGTGGCTTTAGGCATGGTGCCCTTGTTGTCCCAAGTGCCAATGTCCATGTTGTGTTTAATGGGCGGAGGAGGCAAATTAGCACCAGCCATGCCACCCTTAGTTTTAAGCTTGGGCTGGGGTTTGGCTGGTTTGCTGGCAATATCAGCCCAGGAGGCAGGCTTGGCAGGGGCAATTGAGACAGGAGGCATGCTGGGAGGTCCAACAGATGATACAGGGCCTAGTGGACCCCCACCAGGTAATCCAGAGCCAACTACCTTAGGCGCCAAGTCCCCGGTACCACCAGGAGCAGCACCACCTATCTTAAGTCCCGCCATGCCCTGGTCCAGGCTGTTCATACCAGGTGCCTTGTTAAGGGGCTCGTTGGCAGCAGGTGCAAATGGGGACTGTCCATCAATCATGGCACCTCCAAGTGAGCTGGGAGCATAGGCGTAGCTGCTGCTGTAGCCAGAGCTCTGCGGTGTCCCCGACTGTCCCTGAGAGCTGTTGTTGCCCCATGCTGAGAAGTCGATGCCACTGGGGAAAAAGTTGAAGCCATGCTGACCTAGGAATGGGTTGCTCCCCAGGGGGCCTGGTTGGCCAAACATAGCGTCCGGGAGGTAGTGGGGTTCCCCATTGCTCAGCTGTCCATAGGAGGCCAGGTAAGGCATAGGAGGATCCCCACCTGTGGACCATGCTGCCTCATTCAGGGAGTAGGAAAATCCTATGGAGGGGCTGTAGTAGCTGGGCATGTACGAGTCCGACATGGCCGTATAGGCATTGCTCTAAATGGAATAGAAAAATGTGATTTAGTGACAACATGGGGAAGAAAAAAAAAAAAAATTGTGGAAAAGCACCCTAGCATTTAATTATTAAAGCAACATATTTTGTAACATTAACAGCTGTAAACTCCTCTTAACATGAGCGCAACTTGTTCTTCATCCAGGGAGTGAAACCACAGTAAAAATAAGTAAAGTAATTGAACTGTCACTGCTCACCACGGATTGTGACAACAATGTAAACAATCCTCTCACTATTCCTCCTTTAAACTCATCTATAAATAAACAGAACTAAACAATGAACTGTTCCCCCACCACCATTTAGAGTGTCTTGGAAGAAGATAAGGACAGCTATTCTTCTGAGTGGACCAAAAGACAGGCTCTATTATTTTCCTCTACAGCCCAATTCACAGTGCATGTGTACGTGTGTTAGTTACTGCACAGGGAACAACCACATTTAACAAAAATTAAAGCAATAAAATCCAAGGTGAATAAAGAGATGCACATTAATATTCTTCGTAATCAAAACACAAGAATGTGCAAAGTAAACCTTTTTTATAGGTTTACTTACAATTAATAATATGGCTGAAATTGGGTTTAACAGATGTGCTAAGATTCCAGTAACTAGTATATATTTATTCTGATATGCACGGTCATGAAACTTGTCGTGGATGCAAGCTAGAGAATATCAGCTGATCTCTACATCCCCATTTTAACTCCCTTAAACCAGAATTTCGGTTAACCCTAATCAGATTTATCTGAATTTTAGTGCAATAAAACAAATAAAAGATTTGTGTTCAACTAAGAACATTTAAGGATAAGCCAGTAACGGACTGCTTAAAAAAGGAAAAGATTCAGATTTAAAAAAATAAATTGAAAAAACCCCAACAAAAACAACAACAACAAAACCTCGCACACTGGGAAAACATTTACCTGTCTGGCCTGAGTATTCAGGTAAGGCTCAAATTCATCGTCATTCAAAGTATCCTTTTGGGTCACAGCTCCGTTTTGCACTGTAAATGAAACAACACTTATGTTAACAGGCCTGTGCAACCCCAGAGGTACAATGGGTTAGACATTATCAGGCAATTAACATCAGCACCAACGCCACTCGTTACATAATAAAACCACTCCCTGAAATTAGAAAAAGGAAAAAAAAAAGAAGCAATAATTGCTCAGTATGCTTCAGATTACACAGTACACACAATGATTTGAATCAGGCCCAGGGAAAATTAAACGAACTTGGAAGTAGTCAATACTGGCATAAAAGAGCACTAAAGAAATTTAGATTCCCACAGCAATAGACACATTAAAATAATAGATAAAACCAATACTGACATCACTTCGAGAGAAAAAAAAATGCATGTTAAAATGCAGGTAGATGAGTAGTGCGTGTGAGCGAGCACCCCCCCAGTGAGTTAAAGAGCGCTCTCTGTTACAGGTGATGTTCATGTGCTGGAAAACACGAGATTGTCGGAGCTTTTCGGAGAAAGGGACAAAAAGAATTAAAATATAAATTATTTGTTCAATGTGTTTATTCAACATTATAGACTGACAGCATAATGATAATGGGAAAGCGCGAGGGCCTTTCTGACACAGGAAAAGCATGTCGGAAGACGTGTCATTTTGGTTAACCTAGCAACCAGCTAACATTAGCACGCTAGCGTCTCCATGTTAACGAGCGCCAAGAGTCCTTTCAACTTGACGGAGTTGGCTAACGTTAGCCAGGTCGCCAGCGTGCTATAGGGTGGCACCTGTAGCCCTAATATTGCAAAAGAAAATTCATAATGTCTGATAATTAAAGACACTGAGCAGTAAGGTGTTTTCCACGCAACTATGGGTGATAAAAGGCATTAAAAGTAGAACCAGGAAAAGGATGCTCATGTGTATCATGTTGCCATTTAAAGTTAGCCACTCTGGAGACAGCTAGCCTGAAGCTACCTGTGGGAACCTGTGCGATTTCTGGGATGTAAAGGACACTCAAAATTGCTTTGTTTAAAGCCTGAAAAATCCCAACCTGAAACACAGTATCATTAAGCGTTTCACTCAAGTGATAAATTATATGAAAACCTTTAAATCGTGTACACAGAGGCCCATTCTACCCGAGCAGCTAGGAAGCCAGCTATCGCGTTCGCGCACGCAAGATTTTCTAAAGCGAAAGGTACATAAAAAGATTCGCACTCTCTCAAACCCAAGTCGACAATGTTAGATAATATTTGTTCTTACCTTTATTAGCTTGGCCTTTCGGTCTCTGGATTGGGTCCAGGTGATTCATGAAGGTTTGATTTATGAGAAGAGAGGAAGGGGAAAAAATAGATGAAGAGATATATTTTCAGCAGTCAGTTCCTTTAGCAGGTGGTCAGGCCTACTGCACTACTGAGCCGCTGCCTCTGAGCTAAGCTATCCTCGCTAGCCCGTCGCGATGCTGAGAAATTTGGCCCCCGTAAATGTTCAGAAAATACCTCTCTTTACCTGTTCAAGAAGACTGCTGGCTGACATGTCTTTCCCCCCCGGAGCCTGTGTAACTGTATTTACTCCTAAATAAAAGCGTCAGGGTGAAATAATTATCAAGCTATTGAAGCGTTTCAGCCAAGCACCCTTATCTCTCTACAGAGCCTGGTTCTACACAATGGCGGGCTGCAGTTTGCTTGACAGACTCCTCAACATGGCTGGGCGGCCCTCGTCAACCCACGATGGTATTTATTTACAAAAAACGTGCGCCCCCCATTGGTGTGGAGGAGCCAGGGTGATGTTAGAGGCTATTATTTTCATTATAAAACATCAACATCTGAAAGATATTTGAGATATAAATTTCTTATAAAACCACTGTAGGATGTAGAATACAACATAACAATATACAATATAACATAAATATGTTATTTATGTTTCATATATATGTGCTTGATGGTTGCTGAATGTGCTTGATGGTTGCTGAATGTGTGCTGCTATGACAACAATTTTCCTCTGGGATTGATAAAGTCTCTCTGATTCTGATTCTGATAAACAAAACCACATCAGGAAATCAGGATTTCTAATCTAAAAATCCTAAAAACGAATCTGTTATATAACTATTACTTACCCAGGAATTAATTTTCAAAATTCACTGCTGAAACAGTTGCACCTTTAAATCATTTTCATGCTGTTTTTGCACTGCTTTGCAAATCAGTAGAGCATTAAGGGTGCCCCAGAGTGAATGTTGTGTGTTGCAAAATTACGTGTTTCTTCAGAGAACCCCCCAGCCTGCCCCAGGGGAGCTGCTGTGTGAGCTACAAGCTTGTGAAGTCTGTGATTGTACGGGTTGGAGGTATGAATGAATGCAGTGCCAATTCTAGAGTCTATAGTGGCCTTAGGCAAAAATTCACACATTCAACCACCATTCATTAGAATTATGGTTTAAAATATCTGACATCATCAAAAGAAATTGTGCACTCACTGTCACAGCCACCACAGCTGGACGCCCCTGGCTGCTCTGCTAGCTTAGTTAAATAATATTAAATGTCAAAGAGCTCAAAATAAATACTGTGATGTTAGTGGGTAGCAAGTATTTCTCACCCAAAAGTTAAGGCTAATCTGGCAGCAGTTTAGTTATTTAATATTGTACAGTACCAATCAAAAGTTTAAGACCACTTAAAAAAC